TCACTGAAAAGTTCCCACTGGCATGGCAGTGGCTGCTCCGTGCCCCACAGCTCTCGTGCCCCCAGGTCCACCTGTGCTGCCCTTGCTGGAAGACAGGGACAGTTTTCCCCCCTGCTAAGGCTCCTCGATGTACTGCCGCAGCTGACCATAAACCGAGCAGCCATCGATAAACTGCTCTCTGTATAGGCCTTCGGAGCATGACAAATTGTGTTTCTGGGCTTATCGGTGCCAATCTCTTAATTGCTTTTCCTCTAAGCACAGAGTAAATTGTGCCAAGGTCTGAGGAGCCAGGTTCCTCCAGGCAGGGACCGAATGCAGAGCAGTGACACAAGGATGAAGGCTCCCGGCACGGCAATGCCGGTCAGGGCTGCCGGCTCCTGCCTGCCCTCCACCAGGGACTTTGCACCTACGTGAGAGGGGATGGATTCAGCTGAACCAAAAGATCTTTAGCTGGGGAGTTCGCAAAAGAGCTTGGCCCAAGGCAAGAAGAGGAATCACAAGGACCATTAACCACCTCATTTAACAACCCCTATTAGCCCTTTCCCATCCCTGCTACTGGGGGTCGCAGACTGGGAAAGCTCGGAGAGCCTGGCTGAGCCAGGCACCGGAGACCTCCAAGGAGACAGAGATGGGAGATGACCCTCGGTGGGGGCACTCAGGTTTGAGCCTGTGCTTTTGCCATAGGTGTCAAGGTCACCTCCCAAATGTCAGATCCTCACTGTCAGCATTTGAGCTACATCCTGCACGCTGCCTCTGCACGGCAGGGAGAGGCAGAGGATCCCTGAGCTGGCTGTTAGGAAATGGGTTTCTAGAGGCACCACAACCTCTGAAGGAGCCCAGAGTGCATCGCTCTGATTTAGTCATTATTTAATGATGCTTAAGTTAGGGAGAAATCCCACCTTGCTGCTCTGTGCCTCAGTTTCCCCATCTGTAAGCAGAGATAACTGCCTCCCCACTTCATGAGGGTGACCTTCAGCAAGGCTGGCAAGGTTCAATGAGGGGTACGGAAGCCAGGAAAATGCACCGGGAGAGCAGGAAAGGAGCAGTTTTCCCTGGACTCTGGGTGACTGCTGTCACTGAACATCCCCAAATCCCAGGCCGTGGATCCAGGGCCGTAGGAAACCTCCCCTGTCTGGTCATTAAAAGAGGCGACCCAGTGAGCTCGACCCCCCTGGCACCCAAAAGAGGCCGGACCCAGCTTGTCTGGTTTATCAGGGACCTTTTCCCACCCCTAAAGCAGGGGCCTGGGGCTCTGGCTGTGTCTTGTAAGGAAGTCCCTGCTGCCCCCAGGCCACGACTCCCAGCCCCGGCGCTAAATTTGGCTGCTGCCCCAGGTCCTCTCCGGCAGCTGCTGTGACAGACAGCTCCTGAACCAGCCCCCCTCTGCAGCGCTGCTCTAAAATAAAAATATCTCCTGCCTGCTCCGCTCCACTCCCTGCTAAACTTACTCCAGGGGCAAGGTGGGGCACCTGAAGCCAGAAAGAGAAGCCGAGCCGCCCCCCAGACGGCCACCGGACAGACAGACGGATGCATTAGGGAGGGGAGCTGCCACCCCACCACCCTTCCTGGCTTTTTTCCCCCCTTTTCCTCCCTCTTGACACCCCATTTAGCAGTGCCAGCCGCTGGATCCTGAGAGGGTCGCCCGGCTCCGGGGGGCTGCTGCGCTCGGCCGCTCGCTGCTCAAGGTCAGTCGCGGGGGCTGGCGTGGGGAGGGTGGCCGGTGCTCTCGGTGTGGGGGGTACGCTGGCGGGCCGGGACGAAGGGCTGCAGCGGGGGGCCGGGGCCCCCATGGCACTCCCCCCCTGCCACCCGGTACGGGGCGCCCAGTCCCCCCGGGAGCCGCTTCACGCTGTTAACCATCTCCTTGCCCCCTACCCTACCGTGCCACAGTGGGAAAAAGTCTTGATAAGCCTAGAAAGGAGGCAAAAGCTCTTTAAAGCAGCACCCTGGCTAGCCCCCGAGCACCCTGCAACAGGCACCGGCACTGCAAAGCGGTGGCCGTTTGCCCATAAAGAGCAGCTTTGCGCTAGAAACTATCCAGCTCAGCACATGCTGCAGCAGGAGTTTTGGATAGGGCTGAGCGGGGCTGCGGTGGCAAGGAGAGGCTGAGCCTGA